AGATGATTATCAATAAACTATCTGTTCAGAAGAACCAAGCCCAAGATTCTGGGTGCTTTCTATGATCTGGTGAGTCAAGCAAGGATATGTTCAAACAGAAAGTTATCTAGGAATAAGATAGTCGTGGTGGAAGGGTATAGCTGAGTAAAAGCATTGTGGTCAAAATAAAGACAAGCTTAACCATTCTGAGAATCCCCACAGACAGCTGTAGATTCAGGTGACTACATGGAAGAGCAGAATCATTCTGCACCAGTGAAGGTAGATGTCCTGGGAAAGAGACTACGAGAAGCGCATGTACCCAAGACAGAATAGCTTGCTGTAGTGGGGACTGACCGCTCGATTGTTAGTTTGTCATACTGTGGTGGCTTGCATGTCGTTATAATGCTGGAAGCTATGCCACTGGTATTCAAATACCAGCAGGGTCACCAATTGTGGACAGGTTTCAGCAGGGCTTCCAAACTAAGATAGACTATGAAGAAAGGCCTGGCAATCTACTTCCAAAAATTAGCCAGTGAAAACTCCACAGATCACAACACAATATTATCCGATGTAGTGCAGAAAGATGAGCCTCCTAGGTTGGAAGGCACTCAAAATACACAGTGGCTGCAATAATGGACTCGAGTATACCAATGTCATGAAGGCAGCCCAGGACTGGGCAACATTTCACTTATTGTACGTGGAATCACCATGAGTGGGAGCTGACTTGATAGCAACTAACAGGGGCTGGTGAGGAGCGTGGAAGATGGAAAGCAGGTAACAGACTGACAGCTACTCACTAGTGGCAGCATCGAAGACATGTGCACTGGGCCCCAGATAAGGATCTCTCCTGCTTAAAAGAACTACTCCAAGAATGCAGAGAAAACCATCTTTTTGTGAGTGGACTTGAGATAGAGAAAACCAAACCAAACCAAACCTATTGCTGTCGAGTCAAATTCTGCCTCATAGAGACCCTGTAGGATAGCGCAGAATTGCCCCATAGGGTTTCCAAGGCTGTAATGTTTACGGAAGCAGACTGCCACATCTTTCTCCCACAGAGCAGCTGTGGGTTTGAACCACCAACCTTTCAGTCAGCAGCCAAGCACTTAACCACTGCACCACCAGGGCTCCCAGGTCCAAATCCCTTTTCTTGAAAAAAGAACAAGCTAACTCACTCATCTTGTATTTCCTACCACAAAGGGCAACCTGGGATAGAAGTGAAAGACAGTCCCCTAAAGCCAGCCAAACCCATTGCCATCAAGTCGATTCAACCCTACAGGGCAGAGTAGAGCTGTCCCCTAGGGTTTCCAAGGAGCAGCTGGTGGATCTGAACTGCCGACCTTTCGGTTAGCAGCCGAGCTCTTAACCACTATGCCACCAGGGCTCCAAAGCCAGTCAAGGAGATGTTTTTCTGTAAAGGGACTTAAGCCACTGTAAGTCTCCTTGTGGAAAAGTACAAGTTTTCCCACAGATCATGAAACAAATAACTAACTGATCTCTACGGAACCCTTCTCCCAGTACCTTCAAGCCTAACTTGTAAGATCTTTACAAATCTATAGAGCCATCTTTAGATTCTAAAAATAAAATATATTTTAATTATTTAAAGATACATGCTATGCAGCATTTTGATATGAGAGTGTTGAAAAATCAAACAGGTAAAGCAACTCCTGATCTCTTCAAGAAGCCAGACAAGAGAAATAAGAGCCATCACACGAATAGATATATGCACACCCATATTCACTGCAGCACTGTTTATAATAGCAAAAAGATGGAAACAACCTAGGGCCCCATCAACAGATGAATGGATAAACAAATCATGGTATATTCACACAATGGAATACTACGCAATGATAAAGAATAACGATGAATCCGTGAAACATCTCACAGCATGGCTGAAATCTGGAAGGCATTATGCTGAGTGAAATTAATCAGTCACAAAAGGACAAATATCATATAAGGCCACTATTATAAGAACTTAAGAAAAGGTTTAAACACAGAAGAAAACATTCTTTGATGGTTACAAGGGTGGAGAGGGGTATTCACTAGATAGTAGACAAGAATTATCTTAGGTGACGAGGACAACACACACTACAGGGGAAGTCAGCACAACTGGACTAAACCAAAGCTAAGAAGTTTCCTGAATACAACCAAACACTTTGAGGGACAGAGTAGTAGCGGTGGGGGGTCAGGGGACCATGGTTTCAGGGAACATCTAGGTCAGTTGGCATAACAAAGTTTATTAAGAAAACGTTCCACATCCACTTTGGTGAGTGGCCTCTGGGATCTTAAAAGCTAGCAAACAGCCATCTAACATGCATCAATTGGTCCCAATCCACCTGGAGCAAAGGAGAATGAAGAACACCAAAGACACAAGGAAAATATTAGCCCAAGAGACAGAAAGGGCCACGTAAACCAGAGATTCCATTGGCCTGAGGCCAGAAGAACTAGATGGTGCCCAGCTACCACCAATGACCACCCTGACAGGGAACACAACAGAGTCCCTGACGTAGCAGGAGAAAAGTGAGGTACAGAACTCAAATTCTAGTAAAAAGACCAGACTTAATGGTCTGAGACTGGCGGGACCCTGGAAGACATGGCCCCTGGACTCTCTGTTAGCCCCAAACTAAAACCATTCTGGGAGCCAACTCTTCAGACAAAGATTAGACTGGACTATAAGGCATAAATGATACTGGTGAAGAGTGTGCTTCTTAGCTCAAGTAGATACATGAGACTAAATGGGCAGCTCTTGTCCCGAGGCGAGATGAGAAGGCAGAAAGGGACAGGAGCTGGCTGAATGGACATGGGAAATCTGGGGAGGAAAGGAGGAACATGCTGTCACAGTATGGGGAGTGCAACTAGTGTCACACAGCAGTGTGTATATAAAGTTTTGTATCAGAAACTAACTTCAACTGTAAACTTTCATTTAAAGCATATTTAAAAAAAAAAAAAGACAATTTACTTTAAGGAAACAATAAGGAATTTTTCCATTATCAAAACACAAATATGCGGCCAACAACTAAATTCCTCTAAGCCTTTTTACTTCCTCATCTGCATTCATATCAAATCTACTTCAAGGAACATGTGTGACACAGCACGTGCCAAGAATACACAGGCTCCCCTCGTGGCTAGAAGATAACGCCAATATGGGGGCCCTTCTACTGAGGACTACCTTATCTCTCCCAGACACCTCTGGGTCACACAGATATGAGATAGCTAGAGGCTCCTCAAAGAAGTCAGGCTAAGACTTGCTATGCAGCTTAGTAAATATTGACTTAACATGAGATGAATTTTCCATATGTCAACATGTGCCATTCTAATGATATCATATGAACTTAACGAGTCTTCAAGGTATTTTAATGCTATCCTCTTCTGCAGAAAGGATGGTAAGCAACCCTTTTTGGAGGGCAGTTTTGATACAATTTGCATCAGGAGCTTAAAAATGTAATTCCACTTCCAGTAAATTAAGGAAATAAACAAAAATGCCAACATACATGCAGAAGGATGCTCATTGTAGTATGTATAATTGTAGAAAGATAGCATACAAAATGTTGAACAATATGGAAATGGTTTAACTAAGGTAGACCCACATGATAGGATATTATGTAAGTATTAAAAATGCCTTTTTTGAATAATATTTAATAACATGGGGAAATGCCCGAGATATTAAGGAAGTAAAACGCAGGACATAAACCTATACAGTATTATCTCAATTTTGAAAAAAAAGTATGCATTTGACACATTTACATCCACAGAAAAAGATTAGAAGAAAACATATCAATTGATCTGCATGGAGAAATAACTGCTTTTTTCTTCTTTATATTTTTATGATTTCCAAAGTTTCTCTTTTATACACAGAATAATTTTTTTTAAACATAACCAGAGGCTAAGAGAACCAACATTTGAGTCAGAATCAACTCAAAGGCAGTGGGGTATCATGTGCTAGGAGCCCTGCTGGTGCAGTGGTTAAGAGCTATGGCTGCTAACCAAAAGGCTGGCAGTTCAAATCCACCAGCCGTTCCTTGGAAACCCTATGGAGCAGTTCTACTCTGTCCCATAGGGTTGCTATGAGTCAGAATCGACTCAACAGCAATGGGTTTGGTTTGGTTTTGGTATCATGTGCTAGTGCAGTACTGGTTGTTTAGTGATAGAATTCCCACCTTCCATACAGGAGACCTATGTTCAAGTCCCAGCCAATGCACCTAATATGAAGCTACCACCTGTGTTGCTATGATACTGAACAGGTTTCAGAGGAGCTTCTAGACTAAGACAGACCAGGAAGAAAGGCCTGGCAATCTATTTCTGAAAATCAGCCAAAGAAAATCCTATGGATCACATATGAGGATGGCACAGGACGGGGAAGCATGGGGTCGCCATGAAATGGGGCCAACTCAACGTCAGCTAACAGCAACATTTGTGTACTAGGCACTGAGCTAGGGATTTTACCAACTATTTAATATGATCTCCAGAGCAATTACAAGAGGCAGGTATTTGAGCCCATTTTACAGATGAGCAACTGAGGCTCCACTATTTCAGCAGTTAGCCCAGGGTGCCCTGGATTCAAGCCCAGGACAATGCCCATGTATTCCTCCTGTACCACACGCCTTGCCTGCTGCATCTCCTAGTAGGCCCATGGGAGGCTTACAGCCAAGGTCATTGACAAAACACAGCAGTGTACAGCTTGCTCAAGAGCAAGACTTTGTTTTGCATATCTCCTTCCAAAAGCAGAAAACCCTGCTGCCCTCGTCCCACCACCCCCAGAAAAGAACATTCTTCGTTTCAAGACTCACGGCTCCATTCTGAAGCTGTTTTTATTCACATGTCCAGCTCTACAAGCCTGTGCCCTCTGAGCCCATTCCCTCACAGCCATGGTACCTGCTGGCGTGCTTATGGGTTTGGCATTTTGTCAGGTCCTAAGCAGGACAGGGCAGAACTGCACACTCCCACCCCTTCCAGCCAGCTGGCATCCTGGTCTCTTCCCTGGATACGAAAACACACAGGATGTGTGCTCCTGCTCCCTACTCAACTCAACCCAGCGGGGAGGAGGGGCAACAAACATCCCAGCTATGCGAACAATCAGAGGAATAGCTCACAGCACACGTGATCTTTTGTAACTTTATTTCAGCCAAATTGTCAGGGACCCGGAGCAGCTGGCAGCCTGACTGTTCAGCTGGGCTACAGGTACTGCCTTGATAAGGGGTACCCAACCCCCTAGCTGGTTCTGCTCCAATAGGTCCTCAGTGACACTAACTGCAGTCCCTCATGAAGGAGTCAGAGGTGGAATTTTTCACCACTGATCCAAGAAGGCCTCTTCATCGCTTCCTGTTCTCTCCAAGAAGCAGTAACAGGAAGTCACTTGGATGGGGTCACAGCAAGTCAGTGACACTCAGGATTGGAACGTGCTGCCTGGGCCACCACTTAACCAAATCATATTGACCGTCCAGCACCACAGTTTGTTCATAACTTAAAAATAGAACTACCTAGGGACTTTAGTCTGGGAAGAGGGAGAAGGGGACACAGCAGATGGGACATGACACACAAAATAACAATGGAAAATAATCCGCTCCTTCTTGATTCTGACTCTATCTCTGTTTTGCACCCACATAAAAGGGTTGCATGTTCAAAAAAGTTTGAGAAATACTGGGTTAGACGAAGTTAAACAGATTAAATTCCTGCAGGACTTCTCAGAACCTTTAATGTACTCACGTATACTGTGAAGGGATTATGATGAGACGTGCTTTTCAAACATACTCAACTATAAAACTAAGGATTCCATAGGGACTAGGAAGTGCTGTTGCAGGGTGAGCCCTTAGGGATCCAGGAAGATAGAAAAGCAAGGCCCAAAACAAATAGTGCCATCAGCCACTATCTTCAAAACCACAGTGCTGGATCAAACAAGGGTGTCATTCTGTGCTCTCCTCTGTACTTCAGCAAGGGTTCTTCGGTATTTTTCCACTTGCTGGTCAAAGCTCCTGGAAGAGAACTCTGCCTGGAAAAAGTTCACTGGAGTCAGGAGGTATTTTAGTGCCAGGCCCCTGAACCCAGAAGTCAGAAGAGGGCCAGCCCTGCTGCTGGGAGACAGAGAAGAATCTTTGCCAATCCAAGCACTCTGGTTCCCTGTGGTTGCTGGGCCATCATTGTCTCCCCTGGGTAACAAGTGGGGCTCTAAACTAATTTCCTCCCCAGTTTTCAGAGAGATAAACTCCTCATCTGTACACCTTAACTGCACCGACAAGCCCAAGGGGGCAGTCACCACAGTTGCCATCCCCTGAGACTCACAGAAAGGGACTAACAGATCCCATTCTTTGCTGTAGAGGTCTGGCAACAACTGCTTCTTGACCTGCAAAGTACAGGGGGAGGGCTGCTGCTCAAGGTCCCCAGGCTGGGGAGAAAGCTTCTCTTTCTTGACCTTCTTTGAGTCCCTGTCAGGTTGACACTGATCAGCATTTTCCTCAAGGGATTCAAACACAACACCCTGGGTTCTCGGCTTCTTTAGCCTCCTTTCTAGCAGCCAGAGGAAGCTCTGTTTTCTAGAGTTGGAACTCATGTATTGCCTCACAGAGGCTGGAATCAAGGGCATAGAGAGCCTGGGGTTCAGGCTGTCCTGAAAGTAGTGTCTACAAGGCTGTCCACTGACAATGGGCACCACCTGGCAGGGCTTCAGTGCTGCCACAAAGGCACGAAGCTCAGAGTAGGAGGAATGGTCAGAGTAAGGAATGATGTGGATATCAGGGTGGGAGATGTGGATTTTCCGGCTTGTGGGAAGGATAGCAATAGTAGGGTGGGTCCGGTTCCAGTGCAGCATGGTAGAAAGGCAGATCTCTGTACGGTCCACAGCATGGATGCGGCCAGCATTCTCCTCCACTGTGAACACATCTGCCAGACCCAACAGCTGCACCAACTCCAGGCGCCGAGGACTCAACACCACCCATGTCCGAAACTCCAGGGCCAGCTGCTCCAGCAGGGACTCCTTTCCCAGGCTGTAGAGTCCTGAGTTATTTTAAAAGGATTAGAAGAAGAGGAGGAAAAGAATCTAGCTATTGGGGAATCCTAATAAATCAACCAATGTTTAACAAAAATGCAAAAAACTCATGGGGCAATCAGGGAGTGTATCAGAGAGGAGGTGACATATGAGCTGAGATATATGAGAATGGTGGGGGGCAGCACGCAGAATCACTCATTCATTCAGCTCAGAAAGGAAAGCATTCACCAAGTGTTAGGCAGTATGAAGACAAAAAACGGAAGTCTCAGTCCTCAAGAAGTACAATCTGCTACACCTATGTTCACTGCAGCATTACTTATAACAGCAAAAAAATGGAAACAGCCTAAGTGCCTTTCAACGGATGAATGGATAAGCAAAATGTGTGGTACACACATACAGTGGAATACTATACACCATAAAGAACAATGATGAGTGTGCAGAACATTATAACATGAATGGATCTTGAGAACATAATGCTGAGTGAAATAAAGCAATCACACAAGGATAAAGATTGTATGATCTCACTTTTATAAGAAAACAAAAATATATATACATACACAGAGACCAATGTTCATTGGTAGTTACCAGGGACGGGTGGGGAAGAGGGGGAAGTCACTCTTGAGAGCATAGGTACTTGTTATTTTTGGAGATGGGAAAAGTAGCACAGAATATGGGTGTAACGAGCACAGCCTGACGAAAGTAAACAATGCCACTAAGAATCGCACAAGAGAAAAAGATGCTTGTGCTAAAGAATATAACGTATATGATTTGGCAACAACATCAACAATAATAAAAAAATGAGTGTATGGTCACATACATATGTGTATAGGCATATACACATATACAGGTAGGTAAAGTGAATATATATGTGTACACAGATACAAGTATATGTACTTGTACGTGTAGATATTTGAATGAGGGAAAAATATATACATGTATGTTAAAAAAGAGAGCGAGAACACAGCTGGAGGCAGAGAGACCAATACAAAGGCTGTCATAGCAAGAGGATAAAGACAGAGTTGGAACTGACTTGACAGGAATGAGTTTGGGTATTTTTTTGTTTGTTTGGTTAATAGGGATAGAGGAGCCCTGGTAGTGCAGTGGTTAAGCTCTTGGCTGCTAACCAAAAGGATGGTGGTTTGAACCCACCAGCCGCTCCACAGAAGGATATGGCAGTCTGCTTCCATAAAGATTATAGCCAAGGAAACTATTTTTGGTTTAATAGGGATAGATTTTTGGAAGTAGATCACCAGGCCTTTCTTCCTAGTCCATCTTAGTCTGGAAGCTCTGCTAAAACCTGTTCAGCATTACTGCAACACTCAACACTCAAGCCGACACTGACAGATGGTGGTATCTGTGTATGAGGTGCATTGGTTGGGAACTGAACCCGAGTCTCCGCATGGAAGGTGAGAATACTACCACTGAACCACCAGAAAATGAACCAATGAAAACCCTATGGATCACAACAGTCCAACCCACAAGAAATCACAAGGATGGCACAGGACTGGGCTATATTTCGTTCCATTGTACACGGGGTTGCTGTAAGTTTAGGGCTGACTCAACAGTAACTAACAAGAACAACAGGGATAGAAAAAAAGAACTGGACTGAAGAAATGTTAAGAAGGCAAAACAGACAAGATTGAATGAGTAAGTAGATATGAAGGAGAACTGCAATAAGAATGACTCCAAGATCTCTAGCTGAAGGTAGTGTCATTGATGGAGACTCAGAATTCAGGACAAATAATAGGTTGAAGGACAGAATGATGAGTTCAGTTTGGATGTGTTATGTTTGAGGTATCTGTGACATATCTGGGGTAGATATCAAGTGGGCAACAGGACCAACCTGTTTGAAGCACAGGAGATAAAAGTTGTCAAATGCAACAGAGAGACTCAGTATAAACAAAATTACAGAGGCAGGGAAGATCAGGGTGTATTGGTGGAATGGCAATCATCCCAGTTGGACTGGACCGTGGAGTATATGGAAGGGTAGAAAGAAAAATGAAATACTAGGCCAAAAACCTTAGCTTGAGCCAGATAGGGGAGGATTCTGGGTGTCAGAATAAGAAGTCTGTAGGTTACAGGAGAAAATAAAAGACTTCTGATTATACAAAGAATATGATCAGAGCAGGGCTTTACAAAAAAGATAATACAGCAGCAGTGTTATTCAATGGCTTGGCTGAGAAGAAGCTAGAAGCAGAGGTCCCAGTTAGAAGGCCTAATATCTACGTAGAAAGAAATGAAGACCTGATTTGGGGTAAAGCTTATGGTAATAGAAGGAACAGATGCTGTTTGTTTCATTTAGACCTTTTCTGAAGGTCTGTTTCAAGTCCACAAGCAGATTGTGAACTCCTGAAAAGAACGTATACATTTCTTTTGTTGTTATTAGGTGCCATCGAGTGGGTTCCCACTCATAGCGACCCTATCTACAACAGAATGAAACACTGCCCGGTCCTGCGCCATCTTCACCATCATTGCCATGTTTGAATCCACTGTTGCAGTCACTGTGTCAATCTATCTCATTGAGTGTTTTCCTCTTTTTCGCTGACCCTCTACTTTACCAAGCATGATGTCCTGCTCAACGGACTGGTCCCTCCTGATAACATGTCCAAAATACGTCAGATGAAGTCTCACCATTCTTGTTTCTAAGGAGCATTCTGGCTGTACTTCTTCCAAGACAGATTTGTTCATTCCTCTGGCAGTCCATGATATATTCAATATTCTTGGCCAACGTCATAATTCAAAGGCATCAATTCTTCTTCGAGCTTCCTTATTCATTGTCCAGCTTTCACATGCATATGAGGCAATTAAAAATACCATGGCTTAGGTCAGGTGCACCTTAGTCCTCAAAGTGACATCTTTGCTTTTTAACACTTTAAAGAGGTCTTTTGCAGCAGATTTGCCCAACGCGATACGTTGTTTGATTTCCTGACTGCTGTTTCCATGGACGTTGTTTGTGGATCCAAGTAAAACAAAATCTTTGATAACTTCAATCTTTTTCCATTTATCATGATGTTGCTTATTGGTCCAGATGTGAGGATTTTGTTTTCTTTATGTTTAGGTGTAATCCATACTGAAGGCTGTAGTCTTTGATCTTCATCAGTAAGTGCTTCAAGTACTCTTCTCTTTCAGCAAGCAAGGTTGTATCATCTGCATACAACAGGTTGTTAATGAGTCTTCCTCCAATCTCTTCTTCACATAGTCCAGCTTCTCAGATTATTTGCTCAGCATACAGATTGAATATGTACGGTGAAAGGATACAACCCTGATGCACACCTCTCCTGATTTTAAACCACGCAGTATCCCCTTGTTCTGTCTGAACAACTGCCTCTTGGTCTATGTACAGGTTCTGCACGAGCACAACTAAGTGTTCTGGAATTCCCATTCTTCGAAATGTTACCCCTAATGTGTTATGATCCACACAGTCGAATACCTTTGTGTAGTTAATAAAATACAGGTAAACATCTATCTGGTATCCCCTGCTTTCAGCCAACACCCATCAGACATTAGCAATGATATCCCTTGTTCCATGTCCTCTTCAGAGCCTGGCTTGAATTTCTGGCAGTTCCCTGTCGATGTACTGCTACAACTGCTTTTGAATGATCTTCAGCAAAATTTTTCTTGTGTGTGATATATCAATGAAATTGTTTGACAATTACCGCATTCTGTTGGATCACCTTTCTTTGAATGGGCACGTATATGGATCTCTTCCAGTCGGTTGACCAGGTAACTGTTTTCCAAATTTCTTGGCATAGGCAAGTGAGCACTTCCGGTGTTGTAGCTGTTTGTTTAAACATCTCAATTCATATTCTGTCAATTCCTGGAGCCTTTTTTTTTTTCCAATGCCTTCAGTGCAGCTTGGACTTTTTCCTTCAATACCATCGGTTCTTGATCATATGCTACCTCCTGAAATGGCTGAATGTCAACCAATTCTTTTCGGTACAGTGACTGTGTATTCCTTCCATCTTCTTTTGATGCTTCCTGCGTCATTTACTATTTTGCCCATAGAATCCTTCTATATTGCAACTCAAGGCTTGAATTTTTTCTTCAGTTCTTTTAGCTTGAGAAATACTGAGTGTGTTCTTCCGTTTTGGATTTCTAACTCCAGGTCTTTGCACATTTCATTATGGTACCATTATTTTTTCTTCTTGATCTACCCTTTGAAATCTATTCAGTTTTTTTACTTCATTTCTTCCATTCGCTTTAGCTACTCTACATTCAAGAGCAAGTATCAGAGTCTTTTCTGACACTCACATTGGTCTTTTCTTTCTTTCTTATCTTTTTAATGAACTTTTGCTTTCTTCATGTATAGTATTCTTGATATCATCCCACAATTCGTCTGGTCTTTGGTCATTAGTGTTCAGTGCATCAAGTCTATTCTTGAGATGGTCTCTAAATTCAGGTGGGTTATACTCAAGGTTGTACTTTAGCTCTCGTGGACTTGTTTCAACTTTCTTCAGCTTCAACTTGAACTTGCAAATGAGCAACTGATGGTCTCTTTTGCAGTCGGCCCCTGGCCTTGTTCTGACTGATGATATTGAGCTTCTTCATCATCTCTTTCCACAGATGTAGTCAATTTGATTCCTGTGTATTCCATCCAGTGAGGTGCATGTGCATAGTCACTGTTATGTTGTTCAGAAAAGGTGTTTCCAATGAATAAGCTGTTGGTCTTGCAAAATTCTATCATGTGTTCACAGCATCATTTCTATCACCAAGGCCATATTTCTAAGTACCGATCCTTCTTCTGTATCCAACTTTTGCATACCGATCACAATAATTATCAGTGCCTCATGATTGCATGCTTGATCAATTTCAGACTGCAGAAGGTGGTAAAAATCTTCATTTTCTTCATCTTTGGCATTAGTGGTCTGTCAGTTTGTCATACTGTGGTGGCTTGTGTGTTGCTGTGATGTAGAAGCTATGCTACCGGTATTTCAAATACCAGCAGTGTCACCCATAGTGGACAGGTTTCAGTGGAGCTTCTAGACTAGGACAGACTAGGAAGAAGAACCTGGTGATCTACTTCTCAAAAAAACTGGCCTGTGAAAACCTTATGGATAGTAGCAGAACATTGTTATAGTGCTGGAATATGAGCCCCTCAGGTTGGAAGGCACTCAAAATGAGACTGCCTCCTCAAAGTAGAGTCAACCTTAACGACGGGGATGGAGTAAGGCTCTCGGGGCCCTAAATTGCTGGTGTGGCATGACTCAAAATGAGAAGAAACAGGTGCAAACATCCATTAGTAACTGGAACCTGGAATGTACGAAGTATGAATCACAGAAAATTGGAAGTTGTTAAAAATGAAATGGAACACATAAGGATCAATATCCTAGGCCTTAGTGAACTCAAATGGACTCGTATCAGCCATTTTGAACTGGACAATCATATGGTCTACTATGCTGGGAATGACAAATTGAAGAGGAACAGCACCACATTCATTGTCAAAAAGAACATTTCAAGATCTATCCTGAAGCAGAATGCTGTCAGTGATAGGATAATATCCATACTCCTACAAGGAAGACTAGCTAATATGACTATTATTCAAATTTACACACCAACCACTAAGGCCAAAGATGAAGAAATTAAAGTTTTTACCAACTTCTGCGGTCAGAAATTGATTAATCTGGCATATAGTAGGGGCTTATTAAATATTTACAAAATTAATCAAGCCCCTACCACAGCACCCTTCTAGACAGCTGTGCCTCTCTAGATAAATTCTGCTCTGAAAAGCTAAAGATTGGTTAGGGCTGATATTTCTTTTTTTTAATATTTAATATTTATTTTTGGTGAAAATATACACAGCAGGTCATACACCCATTCAACAATTTTTACATGTATAGTTCAATGACACTAGTTACATTCTTCTCATAGGACTGATATTTCTGCATATGCATTCAAGCAATCCTGACAGTAGAGACTATTTCTCAATCAATTCGGTAATCATTCTGCAAGGCTATATAATTTTTGAATGCCTTTGTTTAACCCCACTTTGAAACTTCTTTCAGAGTTTCAAAATATTCATGAATGGTGGCAAATCTTTTTCCTTTTGAAGATTACTATAATTTTGGAAACAGCAAAAAAAATCATTCAGAACTAAATCTATTATATTTTTTTAAACAAAAATGGATTCTCACAAACTATCTCAAAACACAACTCCAAAATAAGAGTCCCAAAAATGTTGTGTACCATTGTAGAATCACTAGAACAGGCATGTAGCTATTTTTTTCAAGGTATCCAATTTAAAGCACAACACTCAGTTAAATTCTAGGTTGTGATAAATTTCATTCAGTTATATAACAAATATTTTGAATGCCTCTGTCAGTAATTAACTTAGGCATCTGGGATATATCCACAAGTAAAACAAAGAGCCCTGCTATCATGGAGCTTACATTTTAGCAGCGGGAGATAGACAATAAAAACAATACAATAAACAGGTAAATTATGTAATACATTGCAAGGTAGTAAGTGCGGTCTTGTCCCTCTCCTACTAAAAACCCTTCAACAGCTCTTTGTGCTAAGAACAACGGTTACATTTAGAATCAGTTCAAAATGGCTTATAAGCACTCTTTCGTCCAGCCCCACCTGCCTCTTCAGCCTGTTCTCCCGCCACTCTCCCCTTCATCCACTGCACTCCTGTCACACTGGCTGCTGCTTCTCAACAACATAAACATAAAAGTTCCTTCCTACCTTGATCCATACTCTCGAGGAATTTACAGCTGTCGGGGGTGGGGGGATGATGGGGAAGGAAAAGTGTGTGTGTGCAGCAACACATTAAAACAAAATGGAAAGAGTATACTGGAAAGTGATGAGTACTGTAAAAAGACACAAAAGTACAACTATATACGTGATCAGCAGTTAGGAACGTGGGGATGGGGGTGGCTGGCCGGTTGTTTTAAATAAGGTGATAAGGATAGGCTTCATGGAGGAGGTAAGATATGTACAAAGACTTGAAAGACGTGAGAACATTCAAAGAACCTAGATTTACTGGCTATGGGTGAGAAAAAGGAACAGAAACCACTCACCGATCTTTATATTATGTTGTGGGTACTTTCGAATGAGTTTGATAATCTGGTGGGTAGCTTCTTGCTGGGAAGGAAGAATCAGGGCTGGGTTGCAATTGGTGTTGTCTAGGTATAAGGTATGGATCTGCTTCCCCAATCTCAGGGCTGGCTCCTTTAGCATGGATGGTGTATATCGAAAATCACCTGGAAGAACAATATGAGAGGGGCAGAGGATTGCTTGGGAATCCCCATAAGAGCTTCTGCTCCAGGGTATTTCAGGATTTGGTCAGCTTTCCCTGATTCAGGAAAGGGATGGTCCCTGCTCCAGGAGTTATCAGGGAGAATGTGTGGTCACCATGATGACCAGAGACATAAGTCAAAAGAATAGAAGACAAGCCTCTCTCAACTCCAACAACAGATGGGCATTTGTTTACTAGCCTGTGGAAAAACCATCATCTGATTAGGCATTGGGCTTCTTTGTGTATACCTTCTTTGCTGAACTTTCCCCATTCTGCTCCTGTTTTTTAATTACTCTACTGGTGAGAAATTGATTGAAAAAGGGTCACTGTTCTTATATGAGATGAAGCCAGATGGTCTCCTGACTTCTATCGAGTTAAGGTTGCTCAAGAATAGTGTCTATGCTGGGAAAGTGGGAGGGACCCCTCAGAGACCCACCTGTGTAGAGGATGGTTCCAAAGTATCCTTCAAAGAGAAACATGACAGAGCCAGGGCAGTGATTGGCATCGATGAGGGTTACAGTCATGGTCTCTTTCCCAATTTCATCTAGAGGCAGTACGTGACTCTCACCAACCTCCAGGGCTCGGATCCACTGCTTAGATACCTGAGGAAACAGTTGGTCATCCCAGTGACCACAGACTCTCCTCCCTGATACCTCCCTGGAGCAGGAACTATCCTTTTCCTGAATCAGGGAAAGCTGACCAAATCCCAAGACTCCCTGGGGCAGAAGCTGTAATAAGGCATCCCAAACAATCAGTCCTTCCTCCTCCCTCTTTCCACCCCACCCTTTGTATGACTGAGTTCAGAAAACAGTGTAGTTGGTGATTCCCAAGCTTTCCTGATCATAATAATCCCTTACGCCACTTGATTTTAAAAATCCAGCCAGATTTCCAAGAGCTGCACCAGCCATACCTACTGAATCAGACGGGGTGTGGGGGAGAAGAGCCTGGAGAATCTGTATATTTAACCAGCACATTAGGTGGATTCTTAAGATGAAGTAAGTTTGGGAAACACCGGCCTAGTGTATGTGAAAAGTATGAATAGTCCTCATCTGGACTAAAAGACCGCCCCAATTTACAGCTGAAATATCCCAAGTTGGCCAGTTGGAAGCCACACTCCTATCCTGGGCTAAAGAAGCACTTCTGTGTTTAAACAACTCCCAATTTTGGAAAATCAGTCCTCCTGGTTCCCACTCGGTTAGGGTCCAAGGCTGTGACACATATCCTTCTCCCTCAAAGTCTCCGCCCTTGAGTTTGGAGTCCCCCAGATGCCTGGCCCATCTCCATGGAGGCCGACTCCAGCCCCCCATACCTGTAGGCGACGATGCAAGAGGTGGGCAGTGACTGGGGAGCAGTAGAGGGGCCGGGCCCAGGTGCTAGACAGGCCCACGGTGTGGTCCGAATGAATGTGGGACAAGAAGAAAAGCCGCGCGGAACCAGCCCGGCGCAGGCTCCAGAAGTCCACAGCGATGGGTGTATGGGGGATCAGGACCCCATTCATGGTGACGAGGTTGGAGAGTTACCAGTGGAATCTTCATGGGGATAAGGCTCCCGCGTGAGGCTTCCCCAACGGTGCCCCTAAAAAAAGTCCTGCTCGGGCAGGAACAGGGCCAAGAAACCTAAGGGAAAGCCAACACAGTGGAGGAAGAAATTACTAGAGTGGGTAGAAAGAAGAAAGTAGCCCTGCCCATGGGGGCTGCGCTGGGATCCAAACCGTGGAAGACAGTCGACAGACCACCACCTCCACCCGCGCAGGAGCGAGGGCCCGGCCTCAGCACTCAAAGCGCGCGCTTCTGGGCGGAGACAGGCTAGAGTAGCCGATTTCCGATAGCCCATCACAGGGAGCTGCGCGGCTGCGCCTTGAGGTGAAAGGTTGGGAGAAGGGCGCCCTAAGGTCGCGGTGTACGCTCAGCTTCGCGCTCGCTGGGAGAGGGTGATTGGCAACTGAGGCGGGACTTCCGGAAAAGCCTGATTGGGCCTATCGGTAACAACAAACACGCGTAGGCGCAAAAAAGGCTGGAAGTGGCGAAGGAGGGGTTCGCGGGCTCTCGCTGGTGGGATAAGAAATCGGGCAGAGGGCCGAGACGCCGTCTTTGAGGGTTCAGAGGTCTATGGGTGGAGCGAACTAGCTTGGAGGTCGGCGGAAGGGCCTGAAGAGCCTAGCGTGGGGCTTTCTGGGAAGGTAACAGGGTTAAATGGCCGAGGGCCAGGGTTCGGGACCTGGCGTAGTGAGGCTGGGGTGGAGTCACGCCTTTGGTGCGTTCGCTGACTGACGTTTTCTTTACGCAGGTCCCCACATCAGGGGCTAGGAGCACGAGTTACCTAGGTAGGATCTGTGGGAACTACCCCGTGACGGTTCGAGAAGATGCCTTACCTTGGCTCTGAGGACGTGGTGAAGGAGCTGAAGAAGGCTATGTGTAACCCTCACATTCAGGCTGATAGGCTGCGCTACCGGAATGTCATCCAGCGAGTGATTAGGTATCGCCTGAATCCCTTAGCGTCGTCGCTCCCCCACTGCAGTCCCCATCAGGGCTGCCTACCCCAGGCCAGTCAAAATGAGTAAATGAACTTTCATACATGGCAGTTTTATGATTTGATTTTTATCCTGTTTCTCTGGAGTGCCATCGCAGTCGCCCTTGTGGGACTTCTTTTACTCACCTGGGTGGATTACATTCAAATCACAGGCTTCAGCAATTACATTTATATTAAAGACTCCTGGATCTGTATATGTTTAGTCCAGACTTGCTTTGTTAGCTTCAGACCCGCATATTCTGCTACTGCTTGGCATTTCCATTTGGATAGTTCACAAACACGTGTGCAAAATAGCGCCTACATCATTTCCTCCTTCCCAAACCTGCTCTTCTGCTTATATTTGTCTTGAATGTCACCAGCAAGTCAACCAAGCCAGAAAGAAACTTGGAAGTCAGCTTTGATGACACATGGTTCTTGAGTTCTCATGTCAGATGCTACGGATTCATAGTTCTCTTTTTTGATTGGCACTGCTGTTCTGGTTCAGGCCTTCATTACCAAGGCAATTGCAGTAGCTTACCAGTAGGTCACCTTGCCGTCTCATTACAATGAGAATAATTTTCTCAATATGCAAATCTAAATACTTACCTTTATTGCCTATAGCTGTGGTTCTCAAACTTTAGTATGCACAAAAGTCCTTTGAGATGCTTTTTTAAAAAAATGTAAATATTTTTAGTAGAATGGGGTGGAACCCAGGAATCTGCATTTTTAACAAACATCCCAATTGATTGTGATAGGAGACAACAGTTTGAGAAACAGCGAATGAACAGAATAAAATCCAATCTTATCATAGCACCCAAGGAAAACCCAACCTAATTCAACTACGTGCATATAGACAATCAAAAGAATGCCATTCTTGCTCATGTCTACGTGTCTTAATAGCGTGTATCATTACCTTTCTAGTGAGCTCTTGCTCATTCGGCTCAAGTTATTTCCTTTGTGAGGAAACTTTTGACTTCCTGGCAGTATCAGTCCTCTGGATTCCCGCTGCGCCTTGTATATTACTTCAATTATAATACTTGATTACAGCGTACTGTAATTATGGATGGTCTTTCTTGGCTTCTTACTAGACTTTGAGCTCCTAGAGGTCTGAGACCATCCCTTCTTCAATATTGTGTCCCCAGAGCATATCCCTGGAATGTAAAAGCTCAATTTCGCTGGAACGTATAGTGGTTCAATAAGTGTTTGTCTAAATATGAATGGAAAAGCAATGTTTATTGTAGGCCCATGGTGTAAAGTATTGTGTAATAGACAAAGTTAGGCCTGGTTGCTTCCCTCTAACAGATCACAGTCTGGTTGGATAACCAAGGCATATGTAAGTAAAACTCACTCTGTGTAGGTTGGAGATTTTGTATTTTACTTCTTCCTGCTGTGTGTCTTGGTTTCAGGCACATGACTCAGGGATTGGACATGTCCAGTGTTTTCATGGAAATGGTGAAGGCCAGTGCCACTGTAGATATTGTCCAGAAGAAGCTAGTTTATTTGTACATGTGCACATATGCCCCCCTGAAACCAGATCTGGCTCTTCTTGCCATCAATACACTGTGCAAAGATTGCTCGGATCCCAACCCAATGGTCCGAGGGCTGGCACTACGGAGCATGTGTAGCCTCAGGTGAGTCTCCTCTTACCCATCCCTTCCTCAGTGGCTGATGAGTTCAGGCGGACATGGGGCAAATGTTTAATGAGGCCAATTTGTTTGATCTCTTTAATACTAGGGAAAATAGTATTGTACCCTAAACTCAGATTTTTCTGCCATTGCTTTGGCTTAATAAACTATATTGTATGGTTTTGTTAAAGGTAGTTTTCCATTTTCACTCTCAGTGAAATAGTCCATGGTTTTGGTTAAAAATTTCTAAACACAACTATGTATATATCTTTTGTACTGCCTTTGCAAGGAGTCCTGGTGGCACAGTAGTTTAGCATTCAGCTGCTAATTGAAAGCTCAGCAGTTTGAACCCACTAGCTCCTCTGTGGGAAAAAGATAATGGCTATCTGCTTCTGTAAAGAATACAGCCTTGGAAACCCTATGGGGCAGTTCTACTCTGTCCTATAGGGTCACTATGAGTCAGAATCAACTCAGTGGCAAGGGATTTGGTTTTTTTGGTTTGGTACTGCCTTTGCAGTATTATTCCAAAAGAAAAGTCAAATTTTGGCTTTTTAAGTATGGCAGAGGCTTTCTCTTAATTCTTCATAGTCTGAGAGATGGCACATCCAAACATCTACTAAATTCTCTGTTAGGTACAATAGGTGTTGAGTTATGTCAAAACTAGTATTTCAGGATCTGGCTGACTCCAGTATGTGTTGTTTAGGATGCCTGGTGTGCAGGAATATATCCAGCAGCCTATTCTCAGTGGTCTGCGGGATAAGGCTTCATATGTCAGGAGGGTGGCAGTCCTTGGCTGTGCCAAGATGCATAATCTCCATGGAGACTCTGAAGTGGGTAAGTTTCAGTGTAATCCATCATGGTCAATATTCATTTGAGCCTCTATTATGTGTATGACTTTGTAAAAGGTTATATAGCTTTGGTAGAGAATAATAATGTAGCCCCACTTCTATACATTTTTCTTTGAGTAAAATGCAGGACTTGATATTTTCTAGATCAAAGAAGTCCTTTCTTCCAGGCCCAATGAGCTCCTTTGCATTAGTGAATGTGGACCAGGCTAGAGATGAGCCTTGTTGCCTTGCACGTTGTTAGTGCCTCTTTCATTTTGTCATTGTGTCACTTTGTAGAAGCTCAGCTTTGTCTGCCTGGAGTTATTACTCTGGCTCTATCTCTGTGATGCTGAAGCTTTTCTTCTTTACCCAAGATCTTTGTTCTCTTTTGTAGATGGTGCCCTGGTAAACGAGTTATACAGTTTGCTGCGTGACCAGGATCCGATTGTGGTTGTGAACTGTCTGAGGTCTCTAGAGGAAATTCTGAAGCAGGAAGGGGGCGTTGTCATCAATAAGCCCATTGCCCATCATCTCTTAAATCGGTTTGGATGCCTCAGTGCTCTTTTTATTATGGGATCTGCATCCTGGTGGAATCTTGTTGATGTGTGGAATTAAGAAGAGGTCTTGAACAATTTCTGTAGGGTAGAAATGATAGTGAACCATAACCATTAACTGTGGTGACAGGTTCTGCCCTCCTCTGCAACCATTGTATCCCCAAAAGTAAGCATTTATACTGCCTTAAAATGTAGAGAATCTGGATCCAGGGTACACTGATTACATCTTTGATCTTACATGAGTGTGCATGTGTACTGTCATCTCATCTTGGAATTTAAAGCCTATTTTGTGTAAACTTTAACTAGTACATATAAAGAATGATTCATTTATGGCAGAGCCTATTTTTAAGAATTCTCCCCTTGTTATGATGTACAGCCAACTGGTGACATCGCAGTAGCATGGAGATGGTCCTCGTTTTGTTGCTAAAATAGTGTTTTTGTTTCCTCTTTTGGATAGAATGTCAAAACTGGACCAATGGGGCCAGGGTGAAGTACTGAACTTTCTGCTGCGCTACCAGCCCCGCAGCGAAGAGGAGCTGTTTGACATTCTCAATCTGTTGGACAGCTTTCTCAAGAGCAGTAGTGCAAGTGTGGTGATGGGGACCACCAAACTCTTTCTGATCTTAGCCAGAAACTTCCCCCACGTACAAAAGGATGTGCTTGTACAAGTCAAGGGACCTTTGCTAGCTGCCTGTTCTTCAGAGAGCCGTGAGCTCTGTTTTGCTGCCCTCTGCCACGTACGCCAGATCTTGCATAGTTTGCCTGGTCACTTTAGCACCCACTACAAGAAGTTTTTTTGCTCCTACTCGGAGCCCCACTACATCAAGTTGCAGAAGGTGGAGGTGCTGTGTGAGCTGGTTAATGATGAGAACGTGCAGCAGGTGCTAGAAGAGCTTCGAGGGTACTGCACTGATGTGTCTGCCGACTTTGCACAGGCCGCCATCTTTGCCATAGGTAGGTGTCTGCTGCTTTTCCTTCCTAAGTGCCTAGACCAGCCAGCTAGAAAGCTGTGGCCAGAGGAATTCTAGAAAGCAAAAGAGAGTGAATCTTGCCTCAGAGACAAGGTACTCTGAACCAAAGGCTTGGGTCAGTCACTACAAACAAAGAGGGGGGGAGTTTTTATTGTTTATAAGACAGGACTTGCCATATTTCCCGGGATAGAGAATACAAGTATCTTGCTTATTATCTCCCCACCTTTACCCCTTGTTTTCAAGGAGCCCTGGTGGCTTAACTTAAGCTGCAGCGCTTAGAATTTGTATTGCCTTTTGTTGTTTGCTATCCAAAATGTTTTTCTGTATGTCATACCACAGTCTTGTGGGGCAGTCAGGGCAAGAGGACAAGTTTTATTGACATAATTTTAAAGATAAGAAACCCAGACACAAAAAGATTATTAATTTGCCCACGGGTCGTATAATTCTGGAACTAGGAGTGGAACCCAGCCCCCCTGACTCAAAGCCTGATATCAATTCACCACCAGTCATTTCTTGAGCTTCAGCTGTGGCCTATGTATTGTGCTGAGTAGAGATTAACACAGAATAGATCCTAAATCCAATGACTTTTTCTTACTACTCTGTCTAGAACTTAAGGCTGGAGTGATTCATAAAATGAAAGCAGCTGGGGAGCTAAGTTTTGGAGCCCTTCAAATAGAGAAGGACGAGGAACCCTCAAATTTGGAATAAACTGTGGTTATTTGTAGGGATAGAGAAGTGGGAGCAAAGAGGAGAGTAGAAACCCTGCAGTCCATAGACTGCTGTCAGGTGTTCCCTGCCAGGAACATTCCTGTGCAGGCATGCTATAATAAGCACTGTGCCTCATATCTTGCTGTCATGTAAACACCTTTGTTACTGAATGTTTTCCACCCCAAGGGATGCTTTTTTTTTTTTTTAGATATTTCTGGTTCTCTTTCTTTGGTGGGAAATGATTTTAGAATGAGGTCCTAGTATTTGACCTGACACCTTTCTCTCTGCATTGTCTTCCTCCGTAGGTGGCATTGCCAGGACCTACACAGATCAGTGTGTGCAGATTCTAACAGAGTTGCTGGGGCTTCGACAGGAGCACATCACCACAGGTAATGTCGACTCTTCCAGATTTTTTTGTCAAGGGCCTGGTCTATGGTAGTTGCTCAAAAAATATTTATTGTTGAATAAATCATATAGAGTTTTTTAAAACTGTTCCTTGAGTTGTCATCTGTTCCTGTTGGAGAGGAAGGGTCTAATAGAGTAGAGTTCAGGCTGCCGCAAGTCTATAGGGCTGTACTGTAGATAATGGAGGGGTACTAGGATGACATTGGCTTGTTCTCTCCCCACCTTTACCACCTCTTTTCAAGAAGCGCTGTTAGTACAAACGAAAGGTTGGCAGTTTGAACCGGCTCAGTGGCTCTGTGGGAGAAAGACCTGGCAATCTCCTCCCACAGAGTTTACAGTAAAGCGTTTCTGCTCTGTCACATTGGGCACTATGAGTCAGAATTGACTTGATGGCAGCTAACAACAACAGCCCCCTCTTAGGAGTCCCTGGGTAGCACAAATGATTAAGTGCTCAACTACTAACTGAAAGGTTGACAGTTCGTAGCCACCCAGAGGCACCTTGGAAGAAAGTCTTGGTGATCTACTTCTAAAAGATCATAGCCGTTGAAAACCCTATGGAACACAGTTCTATTCTGAAACACATGGGGTCACCATGAGTCAGAATTGACTCAACGGTAACTGCTACCGCCTCTTTTTGCTTTATGGAAGTCTACTATAGGCAGTGTCTTCCAGGGCTGGGACAAGGGTAAGGCAAATGAAATGCCTAAAATGCAGAATTTAAAGAGATACCTACTCAGGTTTCCGCAAGTGCCAACTCTGAGAGTCTCCTTACATTTTGCACCCTATGTATATTTCTTGCCTCACCTTAGCCCTGGCTCTGGTAGCTCTATTTGTTCTGTCTTTAGAGTATCAATCAACAACAACACTACCCCACGTTTGCATACATCTTTAATTTTCCGAAGTACTTTCCCATACATTAGCCCGTTTATTCTTGAGGCAATCTATTAAGAGCAACATTCATTCAAGAAATGATTGCCCATGTCAGACATTTCCTAGATAATCATTGATCACACTTTCCACACCCATTTTACAGAAATTCATCCAGAAGTCTAATGTGAGTACATATCTCTTAAGACTCCTTCCAGCATGGAGGCTCTAACCTTGTGATCTCGTATCTTGGGCTGTGTTCTAGCGGTGGTGCAGACTTTCCGAGACCTGGTTTGGTTGTGCCCTCAGTGTACCGAAGCTGTGTGTCAGGCCCTGCCCGGCTGTGAGGAGAACATTCAAGATAGTGAGGTAGACTGTTATCCTCCTTTACTTCACGGCAAAGAGGAGGGGGAATGCTTAGGATCCTGCCCTTGGAAATGGAATCACGGTATTCTTTCTACCCAGGCTCTGAAGTGGACACTCTTAGAATTGATTGCCATCTCAAATTCTTTTTTGGTTGTAAATGGGTTTTAAATTGTAAAAACACGAGGGTTTATTTATGGTTTTTATTACATGTACTTTGATACTGTTGTTCTCTTGAACAGTTTTGAGTCAGAGGTTTAGACCATGGAATTTTCAGCAGGAATGAGCATCAGAATCACCTGTGGAATTTGGATAAAGCTTTGGACTTCACCCCACCCAGGTCTACTGACTTAAACCTTCAGGGGTAGGGGAGCCTAGACACATATTTTTAAGAAGCTTCACAGATTTCTCTAAGTTAATAACCACTGTTTTGGAGTAATTTGGAGGAATTATTTTAGTAGCTTCCACTGAAATGAAACATTAAACCCTAAATCGGGGCAGAGGCCCCAAAGCTGAGAATACTTACTGCTTATCAACGTAGGTATGAGTCTTGAAACTGTGTCTAGTTTCATTCCCTTTTGTGCCTTGGAGTTTCATTCCTGTTTGTTGTAGGGGATGTAGTGGGTGAATTGATACAATATAAGTTAAAGTGAATAAAAGATTATACCTTTTCTCCTGGCCCTAGGGAAAAAGCAAAATCAGCCGTTGTCTACTACCGTCTGTGTTCTGAAGAGCCAAGTGTTGAATACCTCTTCTTATTCCTTCATTCTCTAGGGGAAGCAGGCACTTATTTGGCTACTTGGGGTCCACGGGGAAAGAATTCCCAATGCTCCTTATGTGTTGGAGGACTTTGTAGAGAATGTGAAGTCAGAGACGTTTCCAGCTGTAAAGATGGAGCTACTCACTGCACTGCTGCGCCTTTTCCTCTCACGACCTGCTGAGTGCCAGGACATGCTGGGGCGTTTGTTATATTATTGCATAGGTAGGTTCTTCAGAAGGAAGTAGTACTTGCCTGAACCCACAATTGAAATTCTCACAGCTTTTATTGTTTGGTGAGTCAGGTCTGTGACATGAGATGAAAATGTGAATGTCTTCTAGTTTCCTCCCTCCTTTTTTTTTCTCGTCTATTATGTTTTTGTTTTTAATTAACTCAATCTGTTGTTTTACCTCAGAGGAAGAAAAGGATATGGCCGTACGGGACCGAGGTCTCTTCTATTATCGCCTCCTCTTAGCTGGTATTGATGAAGTTAAGCGGATCCTGTGTAGCCCTAAATCTGACCCTTCTCTTGGACTTTTGGAGGATCAGGCAGAAAGACCTGTGAATAGCTGGGCCTCAGACTTCAACACACTGGTGCCAGTGTATGGCAAAGCCCACTGGGCAACCATCTCTAAACTCCAGCGGGCAGAGCATCATGGCCCAGAGGTTCCTAACACTGCATCCTTTGCCACATCAGGTAAAAATACCCCTTATGTTACATTTTATCATAATAAATCTTAATCTTTTGCAATGACTGGTAGAAAGTAGAGTGCTCTAGCTATATCTCAAACTGTTACCTGAGTTAGAGCCTTTGTGAACAAGAAAGACATTCATCATTGGTTATTTAAGCCATTTATCCAAAGATAAAAATCACATTGTATACTTTGGAGAATTTAGATAAAAAATGTAGTCCTATAGATTAAAAATTTCACTTAACAGAAGCTTTCTGATCCTTTTAGGACCCTTGATTCCTGAAGAGAACAAGGAGCAGATACAAGAACTCCCTGACTCTGGAACCCTCACACTAGTCCCCAGTCACCAGATCACTGCTGAGTATTTTGAGAAAACTTGGCTTAGCCTCAAAGTTGCTCATCAGCAAGTGTTGCCTTGGCAGGGAGCAGTCCATCCTGACACCCTCCAGATGGCCCTGCAAGTAGTGAACATCCAGACCATTGCAATGAGCAGGGCCGGGGCTCAGCCATGGAAAGCCTACCTCAGTGCTCAGGACGACACTGGCTGCCTGTTCTTAACAGAACTCTTATTGGAACCTGAGCACGTGGAAATGCAGATCTCTGTGAAACAAAATGAGGCAAGGACTGAGACACTGAACAGTTTTATTTCCGTGTTAGAAACTGTGATCAGAACAATTGGAGACATAAAATAATAATGTATTCTGGCTGCTTGTCCTGAGATGGATAGCTGTCAGAGTTCCTTAGTGTTTTTTTTTAGAGCTGTTTGTAAATCCATGTGATAGTAGATGCAAAGGAGAATGGGAAATCTAGGAATCGGTATTCTTAGGTTTTTTTTTTTAATTTTACTTTAGATGGAGGTTTACAGAGCATATTAGTTTCTCATTAAACAATCAATACACACATTATTTTGTGACATTGGTTGCCAACGTGACATGTCAACACTCTCCCCTTCTTAACCTTGAGTTCCCCATTACCAGCTTTTCTTCCCCTCCTGCTTTCGCATCCTTGCCCCTGGGCTGGTGTGCCCATTTAGTCTCGTTTTGTTTTATGGGCCTGTCTAATCTTTGGCTGAAGGGTGAACCTCAGGAGTGACTTCAGTACTGAGTTAAAAGGGTGTCCAGGAGCCATACTCTCGGGGTTTCTCCAGTCTCTGTCAGACCAATAAGTCTGATCTTTTTTTAGAATTTAGAATTAGAATTTTGTTCTACATTTTTCTGCAGCTCTGTCCAGGACCCTCTGTTGTGATCCCTGTCAGAGCAGTCAGTGGTGGTAGCTGGGCCGACTGGTGGAGGCTGTGGTACTTATGATCCATTAGTCCTTTGTGCTTATCTTTCTCTTGTGTCTTTGGTTTTGTTCATTCCCGCTTGCTTCAGACGGGGTGGGACCAGTGGACATAGCTTAGATGGCTGCTCACAAGCTTTTAAGACCCCAGATGCTACACCAAAGTAGGATGTAGAACATTTTCTTTATAAACTATGTTATGCCAGTTGAGCTAGATGTCCCCCAAGACCATGGTCCCGAGCCCTCAGCCCAGTAATTCGGTCCCTCAGGGAGATTGGATGTGTCTATGAAGCTTCTATGACCTTGCTTTGGTCAAGCTGTGCTGACTTCTCCACTATTGTGTACTATTGTACCCTTCACCAAAGTTACCACTTATCTATCGTCTAGTTAAGTGTTTTTCCCTCCCCACCGCTCCGCTCCCTAGTAACCATCAAAGATTGTTTTTGTTTGTAAACCTTTTCATGAGTTTTTATAATACTGGTCTCATACAGTATTTGTCCTTTTGTGATTGACTTATTCACTTAGCATAATGCCCTCCAGATTCATCCATGTTGTGAGGTATTTTGCAGATTCATCATTGTTCTTTATCTTTGCGTAGTCTTCCATTGTGTGTATGTACCATAGTTTGTTTATCCATTCATCTGTTGGTGGGCACTTAGGTTGTTTCCATCTTTGTGCTATTGTGAATAATGCTGCAGTGACCGTGGGTGTGCGTATGTCTGCTCATGTGATGGCTCTTATTTGTCTATGATATATTCCTAGGAGTGAGATTGCTGGATTGTATGCGGATTCTTATGTTTTTTTCCAAAGACCATTGACTTATTCCTCTTAGGCCAATTGGCGAATGGCCCCACTTTTCCATGGTGACATTGTAAAGGTTCATGTTGGTAATGGATATTGCAGTTTAGGGATGGGGTGAAAATGGGATCTGGATTTTTTTCTAATCAATTTTAAGGATTGTTTTTGAAAACTGATTCCCTTACATGGGGGTCATCTTTTCTACCCTGGATTATTTGCGATAAACTCTTGACTATTCTCATATTTCCCATCATGCTTTTTAGGCCAGAGTCTAAAGTCCTTACTGTGGCATATGAAGTCCTTTATGATCTGTGTTCTGCTTACGTCTTTAGTGTCATGTCTCATGACTCCCAAAAACACCCTGTGTTCTGGCAAAAGCAAACTGCTTGCAGTTCCTTGAATGCACTGGGCTCTCTCTCAGCTCTGTGCATTGGCACCTGCTTTTATTGCTTGCCTAGAACATTTCCTCACCCCCGTATCTTCTTTATTTAAGTAACAATGTTCAGCTTAATTATGAACTCCTTTGGGAAATTTTTTGTGATCCTTACTGCCTTCATTAGGGGTCTCCTTCAAGCTGTCAAAGCAGCCAATGCATACCTCTAAGCATTATGATTACTTATTATTGTTTATTGAGATTGCGTATTTTCTTGTTTTTCTTCCTCACTTTTAATTTTATTCATACTTGGCCATATTTTATGCATTAATTGACACAACTTCTGATAACAGATAAAATTATGGTAAACTGTAAGTAAGACCACAGAATCCAGAACAGGGAAAATGAAAATACCAGTTAAGACCAGCTCAGGTGGAGATGGGGAGGTACACAAACGTTCAGGCTGCAGCAGCCTATGTAGTTGATATTGTCGAGCCTCAGATTTGGCTCTGTGAGAAAGCTGGCAGTTGGAGTAAAGGGAAACAGATAAATGATTGTTATCAGAGATATATAGTTGTCATCAGAGAGGAAGAAACTTTCCAATTCTAGTTTCTAAGAGAAATTGCCATGTAGTTTCACATAGTTGGCACTGAGTCATATGTACAAGATTCCTGTGGGAGGTTAGTAAAGAACTGCATGTGACTTTCTTACGTTGTTCTTCACTGAAAGCAGAGAGCATAGCCAACTTGGAGCTTGATGAAGGCATTTCTTCAAGGGCTTAAGAAAACATGACCCAAGTGTATAGCCTTCAGGGATCAACCTAATTCAAATACTTCTGTCTAGGTACATGGGTGGACTGCATATCCTTCAGATATTTTTTCACCCATCACTTTTCTCAGCTAGGCTCTTCGCAGACGTAATAACACTGTTGAATTTTCTGGTAAGGGCTTGGGTTTTGTGAGTTGTTTGTTGAAGAGTCTGCCCCCCCACTTCCAATTTCTAAGGACAGTGATTGTCTATCTCCACAGTGTCTACTACATAGTAATTAATAGGTATTTATTGAATGAATGACCAAGTAATTAGCTTAACTGTATTATGAATTGTGTTTTGTTATATCAGCTATACAGAAAATAATGGAATTCCATCTAGACCCAGGTTTTTCAAAAGCAGCATTATTAACATTTGGGGCCAGAGAATTCTTTGTGGTGGGGGGCATACCTGTGCACTGTGGGATGATTATTGGCATGCCTGCCCTCTACCCAATAGATGCCAGTACAACCCCTAGTTGTAACCATTAAAAATGTCTCCAGACGTTGCCAAAGATTCCTACCAGTTGAGAACCAGTGATCTAGACCATATATCACCAGGAACTAGAGGGGGAGGGATCAGAACAGCTTCACAATTGCTTTTTCCATATTTTGACTTGTTCAGTTAAACCATGGATGTTTAATTAGGTACTAAAAGAAATAAAATTTAAGTGTGAAGTGCTGCCAATTTAAAGTGTTACAAGGGAATAGGATGCAGGTGGTAGAAATTGAGTAAACTGATTTTTTGAAATTAAACACTGTAACTGAAATGATAACCTAAGGAAAATTAGGTATGGCTCAGCAGTCAAATAAGTAATGTTACTAAGGTGATCCCAACTATTGGAACTTTTAGAAGACTAAGTTCTATTGGGTTGCTTTTCTATGAGTCAGAATCAACTCAATGGCAGTGGGTTTGATTGCTTTTCTGTAATAAAAGAGGCATAGCAGAATATGAAATTGTTGCTTTTGCAAAGTGTAATTTTAAAATGATCCCAATGAAGAATTGATTTATCGTAACTGTAGCCTGATTTTACTAATTTATAAGCAAAATGACCAAAGCTTGGGTATACCATGAAGTTAATTTTTTAATATTCCTTCCTGTGGTTTGATGTTGTGATATAAGTGGGTATTCATCTTTTAAAATCCATAAAAGTCATTGATGTTGTGCTTTTAGAACAATGACCTTCTAATGTCCGTCTTAGCAGTATGTAACCCATGTAATGAGTACCCATGAATGACAGCAATGTTGTGGAACATTGCATATGCAATCATTTACATGGTTCCTGACCTTAATTTTACTGCTGTGGACTAGTGACTGTTATATATGTCCCATCCTCCCCCCTTTCCTAATGGAAATTCTGTTATAATTATGCTGTCCCTTTCACACTAATGTATATTGGGTGATGGGGGTTGGCAGGTAAATAACTTGTGTTCTTAGTTGCTGTTGCTGTTGAGTCGAGTCAATTCTGACTCATGGTGACCCCATGTGTTACAGAGTAGAATTGCTCTGTAGGGTTTTCTTGGCTGTAATCTTTATGGAAGCAGATCACCAGGTCCTTTCTTCAGCTGTGCTGCTGGATAGATTTGAACCACCAACCTTTTTTTTCTTTTTGGATTAGTAGTCAAGTGCAAACATTTTTTGCCACCCAGGGACCCCGTTTTCTTAGTTATAGGTCTCCATATTGAGAGGAGTTGTACCCGAGTATCCTCGCTCTCATGCAGACCTGGTACTGATGATGACTTTGAGCCAATGATATAATAATATGGAGCTTTTGGGGAAGGAATGTAAAGTATTGTGGCCAGGTGGCAAGAGAAGCAAGTGGTAGTGAAAAATTCCGGCCCCATGATTTTCCAGTAATAATTTGTTGCTGTTAAGTGTCCTCGAGTTGATTCCAACTCATCGCGACCGTATACAACAGAAGGAAACACTGCCTGGTCTTGCACCATCCTCACAGTCAATGCAGCTACTGTGTCATTTCATCTTGTTGAGGGTCTTCCTCTCTTTTGCTGATCCTCTACTTTAAGGACAAGCACGATGTCTTTCTCCAGGGACTGGTCCCTGCTAATAATATGCCCAAAGCACATGAGGTGAAGTCTCACCATCCTTGCTTCTAAGGAGCATTTTGGCTGTTCTTCTTCCAAGACGGATTTGTTCATTCTTCTGGCAGTCCATGGTATATTCAGTATTCACCAACACCATAATTCAAAGGCATCAGTTCTTCTTTGGTCTTCCTTATTCATTGTCCAGCTTTCACATGCATATGAGGTGACTGAAAATACCATGGCTTGGGGCAGGCGCACCTTAGCCCTCAAAGTGACATCTTTGCTTTTTAACACATTAAAGAGGTCTTTTGTAGCAGATTTGCCCAGTGCAATACGTCATTTGATTTCTGGACTGCTGCTTCCATGGGCGTTGATTGTGGATCCAAGTAAAATGAAATCCTTGACAACTTTAATCATTTCTCCATTTATCATGATGTTGCTTATTGGTCCAGTTGTGAGGATTTTTTTTTCTTTATGCTGAGGTGTAATCCATACTGAAGGCTGTAGTCTTTGATCAATCAGTAATAATTAGGAGCACAATATTAGAACCGTAAGTGTAAAGATATGTAGGTTGGGAGGAAGGAGTGGTTTGGCAGGGTGCTATGTGGAAGGCCCAAAGAGAAGTAGACAGGAGGAAAATTTATCTCACATTGTGCAGTGGGGAGGGTACTCTGTTCATATAGTCTTACAACATTGATTATATAAGATAATGCAAAGAAGTCAAGATTAGATTCCAATATAGCATTTTCCTATAAATGTATCAATAGTGAAATGTGAAAGATGGTTTATTATTGTGGGAAAAGTATGAGTTTTTAGTAAGACAGACTTAGATTTAAATTTCTGTTCTGCCACTTAACTGATTTGTGGACTTGGGCAAGCCCTTTAACACCAGTTTGATGGTCTCTTAAAATAATACATTCTTTGTTTGCATTTGTATGGGAGCATGTTATAAATTTATGTGATACTGTGATGAGCCGGAGGTGAAAAATGAAAGTTTATTCAAGGCCGTAGCTCACTAAATAATGGACATATACCCAGGGATGTTTTCATAAGCTTCATTACTTACACAGTAATTGAGACCGAGAGGAAAGGGTAAAATTTCATCTTGGACCCATTCCACAACTCCCACCCCCACAATGTCCTTTGTCCCCAGGTGATTTGACACAGAGATCTGTTTTATGCGCATATAGCCCACTTGATAAGCTGTGGGTGAAGGGAAACAAAGGGGGCCACAGACCTGAGGTTTACATGGTTGGGAAACCAGAGGGGTCTATGTGCAGAGGAGAAGGGGAAGGGAAGGAAGAGGGAGGCTCCTTGATGCAGTCCGCGTTCAAGATATCTGATGGTCTTGTGGTCAGTATTTTTTTTTTTTTTTAATTGTGTTTTAGATGAAGGTTTACAGAGGAAATTAGTTTCTCATTAAACAATACACATATTGTTTTGTGACATTGGTTGCCACCCCTATGACATGTCAACACTTTCCCCTTCTCAACCGTGGGTTCCCCGTTACCAGCTTTCTTGTCCCCTCCTGCCTGCTCACTGTTGCCCCTGGGCTGGTGTGCCCATTTAGTCTCATTTTATTTTGTTTTATGGTCTTTGGCTGAAGGATGAACTTCAGGATTGACTTAAGTTCTGAGTTAAAAGGGAGTCCGGGGGCCATACTCTCGGGGTTTCTTCTGTCTCTGTCAGACCAGTAAGTCTGGTCTTTTTTCGTGTGTGTGTGTGAGTTAGGATTTTGTTCTACATTTTTCTTCAGCTCTGTCCAGGACCCTCTACTGTGATCCCTGTCAGAGCAGTCGGTAGTGGTAGCCGGGCACCATCTAGTTGTGCTGGACTCAGTCTGGTGAAGTTGTGGTCAGTTTTGATGGTGTTAATGGAAAAAACATTACCTCCCCTTCTTGAATCTAGGATTAGCTCTTGCCAGCATGCAATTATATAGCTAATCATATACCTTACCATCAGACTCAATGGCAATGGGAAGGCTGTAGGAGAATTTATAGCTAAAGCACCAGGGCCGGGGCACATTCTTTCAGTACAGTTTCAGTGTAAGGGTCATGCAGGCAGTGGGGGAGAAGCTGCTTTCTGTTGCCCCTGCAGATGGAATTCTTAAATTTTCAATGGCTAGCTCTAGTGTGAAAGGAAGTTGGCCTAAAATTATCTCTAAAGGCCCTTCTGACAATAGAAGTCTGAAGCCTACTTAGTAGTAACTGAATTTTCAGCCCATTTGTCTCTAGAGAGAATGAATGCTAGATAATGACAAATGAAAATGGCCCTTTATATAATTCCTGTTCCAAGCCCCAAAGCAACCTAATATAATTTCTTTTTTAGAATGGAAGAGAAAACAGTAGATTTGGCTGTGATTATTTTGCAAGACATTAATTCCATTCTGAACAATATTTTACTCTTCATGCTTGAATTTCTTATTAGTCAGGGCTGTTATGAATAATGTCACCAGGTCAAAATGCCTTGCAAGGGCTGATTAGGTTTGAATCTTCTGAGACTCAAACCCAAAAACTGGGTTCAGCTACATCAAGGAGACAGCCACTACAGGTAACTGTCCAACCCCGATATCTCCTAAAACAATGATAGGCTGATTTCTAAGGAGCCTAACCATGTTAGAAAAATCCTTTTGTTAAGAGTGAATCTCAGATCCCTTTTATCGTCATCCTCTGGCCTTGGGCTAAAAGGGAGCTGGTTAACATTTCCTGAATATTAACACTCAGGAAGGTTGACACTGCTAGGTCATTCCACACAATGTTCTTATTTAATCCTCATAATTTTCCTGTGAAGTACTTTGTATTATCCCCATTTAACCCATTGCTGTTGAGTCGATTCTGACTCATAGTGACCCTAGAGGACAGAGAAGAACTGCGCCATAGGGTTTCCAAGGAGCAGCTGGTGGATTTGAACTGCCAACCCTTTGGTTAGCAGCCATAGCTCTTAACCACTGTGCCACCAGGGCTCCTATCCCCATTTACAGTTCCTCAAATTCCTCTCTGCCACCTTCCCAGCCTTTACACATGGTGTTCTCTTCACCTAGAACAGTCTCATTTCTCCTCTTTGCCTAATGAAGCCCTGCTTATCCTTCAGAACTCATCTCAGATGTTACTTAAAGGATACCTTCTCAACCCTGGAGGTTTTTTCCCTATTACACTTTCATAGCACTCTATTTCAATATCAGAAGAAATTACTTGATTAGTTATTTAATATGTCATTCTTGATGAAATGTGAGGTCCACAAGGACAGGAACTGGCTGTGTCATGTTTCTGTGCTATTTGTAGTGCCTACTACAGTACCGCGTACCTAGGTGCTCAGGAAATAGTAGATATATGATTGTGGCAAATAAATACCATAATCAGGATTGGAATGCTGGTCTATTATAACTTCAAATCCTTCCATTAGATTACACCATACACAGAACATAACAGGAAGTATTAATGAAATTACCCAAGAGGCTGTTCCTTAATTCTTGATTGGCTACCTATGTATAAAAAAGTTATTCATTAATCTACATACTACTGGCTAAGGTGTGGTTCTGAGGTAAGGAAAGAAAAGTGTCTTCAAAAAGCCTACAGTTCTGTGTGTGGGTGAGCTCTCCAACAAGTGTAATCTTTCTGAGCAGATATTTTTGAAGAAAGCTGGTGGGAAAGGCTCCAGGGCTACATGTCCCATTGGGAAACTTTATATTAGGTAGACACATCTCTGGTTTACCAGTGTTTCTGACTTCCCGCTGGCTGAACACTGCCTGTTTTGAGGAAAAGCAAAACTCAACAGCAAACATCTGAAATGAAGATGCCTGGAACTTTTGAGGAGCAAACGAAATGCATTGTGGACACTCTGCTCTCAGACTTCTTGAACCCAACACTGCAGGTTTCTAACCGGACTGTACGTAGTGAAGATGAACCAGATTCAGGTAAGGTTTCTGGCCTGAGGGTGTGGTTGAAGGTCGGCAAGAGATTCTAAGTATGCTTTCTTTATTTCCTCTTAAATTTCAAAAGCCAAAATGTAAGCTTTCAGCAACACCTGAAGTCTTCATGGAAGGGGGAGAGAGTATCAGTGGAGGGAGATTTTCTGACTATTGGTGTCTGCACAACATTGAAGTTGTTCTTAGGAGTGAACAAAGCCAAAATTGTTTAAAAGTCTAGAGAATGTTCCCCAGTGCCCAGATTCCTGGTACTAGTCATTCTTTCAAAGATCGTGACAAGTGTGACTGTGTTCCGTCTGTCCTAGGAGAGCCTTGCTCTTTTGACGTGGCCATCATTGCTGGTCGCCTTCGGATGTTGGGTGACCAGTTCAATGGCGAATTGGAGGCTTCTGTCAGAAGTGTCATTGCAGAAACCACTCAGAAAAAGGTGAAGTTCCTGCTTCCTTTTATTCTTTGCTGCTCTTTTTATATTTCAGACCCCCTATTCTTGCTACTCCTATACTACTGTGACTATAAATATTTTGTGAAATATTGGGGCTTATATTCATCTAAGCAGATACAGCTAGAATTCACCAACTGCCAGTTCTTCGAGAGTTAATCAAAACCTAAGTGAGATTGAGATGAAAAGCTCTTGACATAAGCTGATCCACCTTCAGGGTGCCTCCACTTGGTTTTCATCATCTCTGTGCTTTGTAGCATAGAGCATTATCTATAGTACTTTATTCTTGACAAAATACCTTTTATGCATGTGTTTTAGTACTTATTCTGCACAGCAGCCCAGTTTGTTGCGAGTGAGCATCTTTTTGCCCCCAGGTTCTACCAGTAAAGAAGTGAAATTATATACAGGAAGAATAGGCAATTGACAAGTCTGATGCAATGAGGGATAAACCCTGATAGCAGCCCACTAAGCCTTATCTAAAAAGACCTGGTGGTGCAATGGTTAAATGCTCAGCTGCTAACTGAAAGGTCAGCAGTTCAAACCCACCAGCCACTCCACGGGAGAAAAGACATGGTAATCTGCTCCCATAAAGATTATAGCCTAGGAAACCCTATGGGGCAGTTATACTGTGTCCTATAGGGTTGCTATGAGTCAGAATGGACTGACAGCATACAACAACAACAAGAAGCCTCATGTGGCTTTTCATTAGAATGCTTGTCTTAATTATCTAGTGCTGCTATAACAGAAATACCACAAGTGGATGGCTTTAATAAACAGATTTCTTTGCTGACAGTTTAGGAGGCTAGAAGTCCGAATTCAGAGCACTGGCTCTAGGGGAAGGCTTTCTCTCTGTCAGCTCTGGAGAAAGGTCCTTGTCTCTTCAGCTTCTGCTTGCTGGTTCGTTGGAGATCATTGTGTGTCTTGACATCTATCTTACCCCATCTCTCTCTCTCTGCTCCCTTCTTTAATCTCTTTTTATATCTCAAAACAGATTGACTCGAGAAACACCCTACACTAATCCTGCCTCATTAACATAACAAAACAAAGACAACCCATTCTCAAATGGGATTATAAATACACTGCTGATTAGTGGCAAGAGCATTTGCACTCTGTATTGGAGATAAAGATCATAAAATACTGTTGAGATGTTGCTGACTAATATCAATGATAGCCGGTATGGATTGAATTGTGTCCCCCCAAAATGTGTCAACTTGGCTAAGCTATGGTTCCCAGTATTATGTGGTTGTTCACCATTTTGTGATCTGATGTGATTATCCTATGTGTTATACATCCCAACTTCTATGATGTTAATGAGGCAGGATTAGAGGCAGTTACGTTAATGAGGCAAGACTCAATCCACAGGATTAGGTTGTATCTAGAGTCAATCTCTTTTGAGATATAAGAGAGAATCGAGCAGAGAGCGGAGGGACCTCATACCACCAAGAGAGATAAGCCAGGAGAAGAGTGTGTCCTTTGGACCTGGGGTCCCTGTGATGAGAAACTCCTAGACCCAATGGAAAATTTATGACAAGGACTTTCCTCCAGAGCTGAGAGAGAGAGAAAGCCTTCCCTTGGAGCTGGCACCCTGAATTCGGACTTCTAACCTCCTAAACTGTCAGCAAATAAATTTGTTTATTAAAGCTATCCACTTGTGGTATTTCTGTTATAGCAGCACTAGATAACTAAGACGATAGCTAGTATTAACTCATTGTTTACCATGCGTCAGGCACTATTCTATATACTTTACATTTATTTTCTCATTTAGTCTTTACACTACTCTATGAGGTATTGTAGAAACTTATCCCTAGAGCAATCCCTCTCCATCTGCATTTAACACCATGACAGCAGTCATCTAGCTGCTTTGTTCACGGCTGTATTCACACAACCAAGAACAGTGCCTGGTACACAATTGTTGTTAAGTGCTATTGAGTTGATTTTTGGTACAGAATAGGCCTTCAATAAGTGTTTCCTGAATTGATATCCTTTTAAGTAGATAAGGAAACTGAAAAATCTGTTGTTGAGTTGATTCCAACTCATAGCTACCCTATAGGACAGAGTAGAACTGCCCCATAGGGTTTCCAAGGCTGTAAACCTTTATGGAAGCAGACTAACATGTCTTTCTCCTGTGAAGCGTCTGGTGGGTTCCAACCACTGACCTTTCACTTCGCAGCCGAGTGCTTAACCATTGTGCCATCAGGACTCCTAAGGAAACTGAGGCAGAGGGAAACAAGTAATTAGATCACTCAGTAAATGTTAAAGCTAAGATTTGAACCCAGACTGATTCCAGAACCACACTCTTGACTGTTAGGTGTTATTATTCCTGCTGAATACAGCTTGGGTTTTTGCCTACTCTACATTCAGACAGAACTGGACCTATAACTCCCAATTTCTGTCTTGAGGCTGTCCTAGGTTAGCTGATGACTGAATATACTTTTTCCCCCTCATTTTTAAAAGTGGTGAGACAGTCTCAAACTCGGAAAAGTTGCTAGTACAAAGAATTTTCTCTTGTGAATCATTTGAGAGTAAATAGCTGATAAGATGTTCCACCACCCCCTATACTTTAATGTGTATTTCCTTCAAACACGGGCAGTCTCTTATATAACCACAAGATAACTATCAAAACCAGGAAGTTAGCACTGATATATTATTATCATCTTATCCTCACATTCTATGCAAGTTTTGCTAATTGTGCCAGTAATGACATTTATAGCAAAAACACCCAAGCCAGAATCATACATTGCATTTTAGTTGTTTAGACTAAAGACATTTTGGTCTCTTTCAATGTGGAATGTTTCCTCAGTGTTTCCTTGATTTTCACAACCTTGACACTTGAGGATTATGGAGTAGTTATTTTGTAGAATGGCCCTTAATTAACGGGTTTATTTGATGTTTCCTCATGGATAGATTCAAGATATATACCTTTGGTAGGAGTAACACAGAAATATTTCTGTATTCTTCTCATTGCATTCTATCAAGTGCACAAAATTTGAGTTTGTTCCATTAGTGGTGTTGACTTTGATCACTTATGATGGTGTCTGCCACCCTTCACTGTAAAATTACTCTTTTTCCTTTGTAATCAATAAGTGTTTTATAGAGAGATTCTTTGAAACTATGTAAATATCTCATCAAAGTTTTAATTTATTCATTTATTCTTTATATTAGTTTAGGCTTATGAATTCCTACCTTATTCAATGAGTTATAATCTGTTAATATCATTATTTAGATGTCCAAATTGCCCCAGATTTGGCCAGTAGGAGTCCCTTTAGTTGGACTTTGTATTTTCGACTTGTCCCTATTAATTGTTGGGTACTTCCTTACTTTCTGACACAAGATCTTCTACTTTCCATGCCCTAACCCTGGAATCAGCCATTTCTCCGGAGATCCTTGGTTTCTTTTAATGGAGAATGGTTTTTAGAAACCAAGATGTAGGTGTCCTCCCATGTGGATGCCCTTCTTAGCTTGCTTGGGCTTCAACACTCTGTTCTGACCAATGTGGACCCCTCTCTACACCCCAGTAGACCTTTCTCAGCCCCACCTAATGGATTTTTGACTGAATTATTTGGGAAGGGAAGAGTAAGAGGAAAAACTAATTGGTTTTTTACTTAGGAGTTTACTTAAGAGTAACTCAAGCAATACCTTCACAATTTGACCAGCTGTACTGTCTTGTAGGTAATATTTTTTATTGTGATAAAAATACATGTAACAAAACATTTTCTGTTTCAACATTTTTTATGTGTATAATCCAGTAACATTAATTATGTTCATCATAATGAATGCATTCATCATAATGAATCATAAAGATGGTTTGCAACCATTACCTGTATGTACTTACTATTTTTCTTTCAAGTTTTTCTTTCAATCACTTTGTTTATCCTAAGCAATGATAGGATCACTGGTGGTGCAGTGATTAAAGAGCTCAGCTCCTAACCAAAAGATAGGTTGTTTGAATCCACCAGTTGCTCCTTGGAAACCCTTTAGGGCAGTTCTACTCTGTACTGTAGAGTTGCTATGAGTTGGAATCGACTCGGCGGCAACGGGTTTTAAGCAGTGATACCTGACATCATGGGTTTGATGGGCTACTTATATCCCAGTAGCCATTAAAATAAGTTATAATATAAAAATATAAATAAGTACAAGAAGTTATAAGTAAAATAATAAGTTAAAAAACACAGTATTAAAATGAGAAGTTTATCCATTTACCTACTAAGATTAACTCATGTACCACCATTGGTACATTTGCCATTCTTTGGGAAACACTTGCTTTACTGGATTCCTGCATCTGCAGCATCCTGCACTTCATGAGTGATCCTCCACTGACATTTCCTATGTCTCTCCCCAGGCAGAAGCTGTACTCAAGGACACAGTGAAATCTCTCAGTACAACCTGGTGTGCTCAGGATTCCAGCTTAGCTTATGAGAGAGCCTTTTTGGCGGTGTCAGTGAAACTTCTTGAGTGTGTGGCCCACATGGCCCCAGAAATTGCAACATGGGTGGCCATCCCTGTGATAAATATGATCAATGGGAACAGTGCCATCCGACAGTTCATCCAGGGCCAGGGAGGTTGGGTAAGTATGTCAGGGCCCCTGGCTTTCCTAGGCATTTGAATTATTTTTGCAGTAATACCTGGAGCTCCAATTCTTGCCTCTTTTTGTCTAAGTTGGAAACCAAGCAGGCTAACAGCCTTCCCTACTTTGCTGAAAATGCCAAGATTTTTTTTCCCCATGTTAAATGGGAAATAGAAGCTCAGCTTGTGGAGACTAGACTTTGGAGCCATGCTGCCTAAGACATTTACTGCTGACTTTGTAAAGCTAATCTCCATTTTTCACACATAATGATTTATAAAGTATATTGGTGATGGAGCTCTAATCTCAGCCTGGCTTCACTTACTCCTTAGTAAATTTCTGGGTCTCCTTTCACTAATACCTTTGGGTATGAATTGAGAAAGTTTGGAATCATCTTAATATTATCTAACAAAAAACAACTGGTCTCATCTGCTGTAGTGATAACTACAGAAGGTATTCTAAGCCCATGTCTTGGTAATCATTAGAACATTCGCTGTCATAAATGCTGGGCAGGAGCGTTCCCCTCCACTTCCAGGATCAACAGATGCTGTAGTAAGAGCAGCATTTCTTTGGAGGTATCTGCAGTTCATTCCCTGGTTTCTTTAGGAAGTTCCTGAAGACCATCCCTTTGACTCTTGGATTTTCACTGTTTTTCCTAGGAAAATCTGGAGAGCTGAAGAGGTAGAGCTATTCCCCAGCCCGAATATCACTTCCTCTTTGACTGATCTGGTGACTGATTTCTGGCAATTAAAACAAACAAATAAACAATCACTTTCTTCATTTGTACAGAATTTATTTTCTACTGATTGTTAAAGTTGGGAGCAGTTCCCAGAGGCCTGCAGAAAGTTTACACTTTGTTTTTTCTTAATTGTGCGTTAGGTGAAAGTTTACAGAGCAAAATAGATTCCCATTTGATAGTTTGTACATAAAGTGTTTCATGGCCTTGGCTTCATTCCTCAATGTGTCAGCCCTCTCCCCGTTTCTGCCCTGTGTTCCCCATTTCCTTTTGTCCTGATTTTCTACACCTTCCTGCCTTCTCATCTTTGCCTTGGGCAGATATTGCCCTTTTGATCTCTTATAATTGATTGTTCTAACGACCATGTTTCTCTCAGGTATTACTGTTTATTTTATGGGCTTGTCTGTTACTTGGCTGGAAGGTGGTTTCCGGGAACAGCTTCAGTTTCAGATCAGAAGGGTGTCTTAGGGCCATAGTCTCAGGAGTTCCTCCAGTTTCTGTCAGACAGTAAGTCTGGTCTTTTTTGGGAATTTGATCTTTTTTTTTTTTTTTAATTGTAATTAATTTTACAGAACAAATAGTTTCTCATCAAACAGTCAGTACACATTGTTTTATGACATTGGTTAACAACCCCACGACATGTCAACCTTCTCCCTTCTAGACCTTTTTTTTTCAGTGGAATATATATAGCCAAAGATACACCATTTCAAAAATTTCTACATGCACAATTCAGTGACATCCATTAAGTTCTTCCAGTTGTGCTGCTATTCTCGCTTTAGACGAAGGTTTACAGAACAAAATAGTTTCTCATTAAACAGTTAGTAGACATGTTGCACTATGACAGTGGTTAACAACCCCACTACAAGTCAACACTGTCCTTACTCAACCTTGGGTTCCTTATCACTGGCTTTCCAATCCCCTTCTGGCTTCTAGTCCTTGTCCCTGGACTGCTGTGCCTCATTAGTCCTGTTTTGTTTTATGGGCTCTCCAATCCCCCGATGAACGGTGTACCTCGGAAGTGACTTCACCACTAAGCTGAAAGGGTGTCTGTGGGCCATACTCTCAGGGTTTCTCCAGTCTCTTTC